CTATTGAGTTTTTGTTAAAAGGGGAGGAACGGTTTGAAAATAGACAGTAAATGGTTGCACAACTCGAAGAACGTCGTTTCACTGATAGATAGAAAAGTGTCGAATCAGTATATGTCTGCTGTGTATATTTGCAAAACCAACAAAAACTCAGATGAGTTATTAAAAAAAGAAGTCGTCATCAGGGCTTATCTAAAGTGACTTGCTAAATAGATTAAAGAAAGGAATATTGTAATTTCCTGTTCAAAATTCCTGAACTATTTCAAGGTTACAATTAGGTTTCATGATGTGGCCAGTTGGAGTGGGGTGTTAGGACCTTTAGAGAAATATCGAGGATGCAGCTTACATGTTGGGCTGCTAACTCCAAGGTCAGAAACTTGAACCCAGTAGCAGCTCCAGGGGAAAGGAAGAGACTTTCTGAAACGAAAAAGATGTAGAACCTTGGAATTCAGAAGGGGCGCTTCGACTCTGTCCTGAAAGGTTGACTTGAGGGCAGTGAGTTATTTTGAGAAGTACTTTGTAATCATACAGAGTGTCAGAGGACTCCGGGAGAGCACTCACCTGGAGCTGAGCCGGCTGTTTTATGAAGAGACAGCTTGCATGATGGGGGTAGGAACTGGGAGGGAGACATGGATTACTGAACAGGTAGGAACTGCTTCTATAAGGAACAGATCCTTCCTTAGTTCAAGTAAGAGACAGAACTGCGCTGACTCTACAAGCTCTGGTAAACTCACCTTTCCCTGGCTTTGCAAGATCTGCTTTCCTTGGAGTGCTGTGTTGTTACACACACACACACACACACACACACTGGAGTGCTGCTGTTGTTACACAAGCACACACTGCAGTGCTGCTGTTGTGACACACACACACACACTGCAGTGCTGCTGTTGTTACATACACACACACACACACACTCACACACGTAATGGAGACATCTCTGTCCATTTGGTTGCTTGTGTGTGACCCAGATGATGAAGGCTATATTATCTGTATTTCAAATGCCAGCAGGGTCACCCAAAATGAACAGGTTTCACTGGAATTTCCAGACTAAGAATAGATTACAAAACGGTCAATTTCTGAGCGATTAGCCACTGAACCCCTTATAAATAGCAAGGGAACATTGTCAAAGATAATACCAAAAGATGAGCCCCTTTAGTCAGAAGGCACTCAAAATATGGCTGAGGAAGTAGAGTTAATCATAATGATTTGGATGGAGTAGGCCTTCTGGACCTTCATTTGGTGATGGGACATGACTCAACATGAGAACAAACAGTTGCAAGCATCTATTAATAATTGGAACATGAAATGTATGAAGTATGACTCTAGAAAAATATAAAGTCATTAAAATTAAACAGAATGCATAAAGGTTGATATCCTAGACATTAGTGCACTGGGATAGACTGGTATTGGTCATTTTGAATCCAACAATCACATGCTTGATTATGCCCGGAATGGCAAATTACAGAAGAAAGATATTGGCATTCCTTATTAAAAAGCTCATTTTAACATCTATCTTGAAGTACAGTGCTGTCTGTGATAGGATAATATCTATGCACATACAAGAAAATCTAGTTAATATCGCTATTGTTCAAATTTATGCACCAATCACTAAAACTAATGATGATGAAAGTTAAGAGTTCTACCAGCTTCTTGAATCTGAAATCAATCAAACATGCCCTCAAGGTTTATTGGTAATTATTGGCAACTGGAATGGAAAGTTGCAATCAAAGAATAAGAACAGTAAATAGTTGGACAATATGACCTTGCCAATAGAAAGGAATCTGGAGATTACATGAAAGAATTTCGCAAGACCAATGATTTCTTCATTGCAAATATCTGGTTCAACAGCATATATGGCAACTATACACATGGACTTCACCAGATGGTGAAAGAGACTCCTTATCAGCAGCCAAAGCCAGGCCAGGAGCTAACTGTGGAATAGTCCATGAATTGCTCATATGTTAAGTTTAAGTTGAATTTGAACAAAATAAAAACTAATTCAAGAGAGCCAAAATATGACCCGGAGTAAATCCCACCTGAATTTTGAATACTCATGTGGACATCTCAAGAAAGACTTGACTCCTTGAATACTAATGACGGAACCTGACAAGTCTGAAGTGATTTCAAGAACATCATACGTGAAGACAGCAAATGAAAAGATGAAAGTGGATGTCAAAAGAGATCCTGAAATTTGATTTTTATCTAGAGTAGATAAAGCAAATGGAAGAAATGATTAAAAAGCTAAACAGAAAAATTCAAAAGGGAGCTCAAGAAAATAAAGTACTAAAATGAAATGTGCAAAGAGTTCGAGTTAGAAAAACAAAATGGAACAACAGGCTTAGCATAACTCAAGCTTAAATAACTGAAGCCTCGAATTGCAGTATTCAAAAATTCTGTGGTCAAAATATTGACTGATGCAGGAAGCATCTAAAGAAGATGGAAGGAGTACACAGAGTCACTGTACTAACCATATTCAACCATTTCAAGAGATAGCATATTATTGAGAGCCAGTATTACTGAAGAAAAAGTCCAAGCTGCTGTGAAGTCATTAGCGAAAATAAGGTACCAGCATTTTAAGGAATGCCCGCTGAAATGTTTCAACCAGCTGATCCAGCACTGGCAGTTCGCACTCATCTATGCCAGCAAAGTATCCTGTGCCTTGGGAATGTAATGTGACTCTGGAGGCATCTACAAAGAAAGTAATCTTTCTTACGTATCAATAATTCACTGTCAGGTCTTTTACTTTTCTACCATAAAAACAACCTTAGGTTCTCCTACATATTAAAAGGAACATTTCTAAATAGAAAATGTTTGCCTTAAAAAAAAAGCACTATAATGTTCTTTATCAAGTGAAAATAGCTTTAAATTCTGCTAAATTTATAAAGTGATCCTTAGGTAAACTGTGTTTCTAAACAAAGTATTGAAGAGCTTGATATTTTAAAAGAATCCCAGACTGTTTCAAATACAGCTTTTCATTTCAAAAATTATTTTTCCTACTTTTGTCCTCCAGTCTTAAACATATCTTAATTTCTTACTAAATAATTATTTTCTCCTTTCCTTTAATTCAGTCAGACCATTTAGAGAACTCGTTTGATGAAGTATTGAGGTACCTAATTGTTTAATGGGCAGAAATTAGCCCCAACAAGTGTACTTTTAAAACTGGCAAATACCAGGCATTATTACAAATTCTTTAGAAGAATCTATTTCTGTACAATAGGATAATTGGTTATAAGTAGACAGGACTGGCCACAATTTAAACCCAGCTTCTACTTTCATCCACGCATTTTTCCTCTTACATTTAACAAATATAAGTGGCTAATTGTGATTAAATTAGACCCCTTGATGGAACGATTGGCTTCTTATCCCTGATTTTCAAGATTTAAGTGGTCTAACGCACCTACAATTAGCTTCCTACCAGCGCACTGCCTGCAGACTGTCATCACCAGCCGGGCCGCATGATGGAGGCGCATGGTGACATGACCCATGTGTGTAGCGCAGGTTATGATGAGTCATAGCAATTTCTAAGAAATTTGAAGCCAAAACCAAGAAAGATTTATGGAAACAGGAAAATGAGGTTTGGAGTGTGTGAGCCAGATAATTTTCTCAACTCTGAACTTGCTATATATGAAGGGGTGCCCCCAAAACCCAGAATTTTTTCCCCAAAGCCGTTTTTTTTTGTTTTGTTTTGTTTTCTACCAAACAACCTTATTGCCTTCAAAGTACTCTCCAATATAATGAATGCATTTGTCAAATCTGCAATTCCATTCGTGGGAACGTTTTGCAAACTCATCTGTTTGAAATGAAGGGATGGCTGACTGCACCTCCCTCGTTTCTTCACCTCTTCTACTTCATCACATTGCTGTCCTTTCGTGTCCCTCGGCATTCGCGGTTACAAAAAGAAGCCACGCAGAGCAAGGTCAGGTGAATAAGGTGCGTGGGGCAAAAGAGGCATGCTGGGGTTTTTTGCCAAAAACTGGCACACTGAGATGGCTGTGTGAGCAGGTGCATTGTCGTGGTGGCAAAACCAGACCCCCATCTGCCACAAGTCAGCCTTTTTTGTTGCAAACTGTTAAGCAATCTTTTCAGAACCTCTGAATAGAAAGTTTGATTAACAGGCCGATCTGGTGGACCAAACTCCAAATGCACTATCTCCGTCACATCAAAAAACACAGAAAAACCAAATGAGCATTTTCTTGATCTTTGATTTCATTTGATGAGCTTTTTTTTTTGGGGGGGGGGGCAAGGTGACGATGGTGGCTTCCAGTGGCTTGATTGATGTTTGCTTTTGGAGTTGTAAGAATGGCACCATATCTGGTCACCAGTAATGACCTTGGGGAAAAAGTCAGGGTCACTTCAGAGTTGTTCTTTCAAAGCTTGGCGTGTTTCCACTAGACGCTCTTTTAGCTGGTCAGTCAGAACCCAAGGCACAAATTTCGCATCTACCCTTCTCATTCCCAAATCTTCGGTTAAAATTCGCTGAACTGAGCTCAAGGTAGTCCAGGTAACTTCCCCGTGTATTCAGTGGTCAGTCTTTGGTCTTCAAGCACAAGTGCACAAATTTTGTTGTTGTTTTCATCCATTTGGGAAGTTGACAGGTGTTCTGAACGAGGTTTGGCATCAGTCGACATTTCACCTTTTTTGAAAGCAGGAAAGCACTCGTACACTTGACGTTCTCCCCATCGTGCTCCCCTTGTACGTTGTGTTCCACATCACAAGTTTCTGGAGCATTTTTCCAGAGCAGGAAACAAAATTTCACAGCCACACACTGTTCTTTTAAATCAGCCACTACAAAAATAGGTTTGAGCGAAATTGCTTCCACAAAAAAATTCACTGTGACCAGAGAGAACCTTCCCAGGTGATGCGACTCCTAGCAGGAAAAATGCATACTAGGAAAGCTCTGGCCAGCAGGGCGTTTTTTGTGGGGGTACCCTCTTGTATAAATAACTTGGTCATGTATGTGATTGTGGAAGGTAATGACTCTTTTTTGCCACTCTCTATTTCAGTGGTGCAATCTGTGCATTGACTTGGTAGCTTTCACCAGTGAAATCTTCAAGGGAGCGGTGTTCCAGTCACTGGATGGGGTTATTGTCTCGGCTACCTGTAAGCTACGCAAGATCTTCACTTTAAAAGCAAAGCCTCAAGACACTGCTGACAAAGATGGTATGTTCACGTTGCTGTCAAGATGTTCAAAGTTTCTGATGTGCTTTAAAATTAGACATGCCTTTGGATAGTAGGAGTGCCTGGTATAAGCAGTTTGATTTCATGTCTACTGAGTTAAATTTGTCTATAATCATGCTCATTTTCCCCCACGGGTCACATGTTTATTTTTACTTATGCTGAATGTCACCAAAATGTCTTAAGGTTTCCTTTTTTGTGGTTGTTGGGGTTTTTTTTCATTTGAGTATAAACGCACAACTTGCCATCTGAACTTCTCAGGATTCCTAGTTGCAAATGACAGAATCCTCTCCAGGTGGTTGAAAGAGAAACGGAATTTATTTAAGGAAATATAGAATCTCAAGGTGACCCAGAGAAACAGGTGTGGAGGTTACAGCCCAGGAGAGATCTAGCCTCACTACAGGACCACTCCAGGGAAGACGCTCCCCCCACCCGCACCCCCCATAGCAATGGCTACGGAGCAGAGACTCTAGGAATCACACCGTAGTGCTCGGTGCGAGACTGTAGCCTTTCTATTGCTGCTGCTCCTGAAAGCTGGACGTCTTTCCTGCCGCCCTCATCGCAATGCAGGCTTCCTCGTGGTTCCCTCTCCTGAGCAAGGTCTGGCATGGCAGTGTCTGATTCATGGGGCCCAGGGGACGTGATACGAGGGAGAATAGGTAAACACTTGGCTGAATCCTGAGTAGAGAGGCAAGACTCTGTACTATCTTATCATTTTGTATATATTTCATAAGGTCCCTTGGGAGACATCAATTTACTTTTCTAGGGGTCATGTTAAAATAGGGGGAAGAGTTGAATTGTACCTCTTTATTTCTTGAGAAACTGGAAAGAGGTTAGTTATCCTATAATTAAGGAATATACTGTGCAGGCATCTCGGCTATCAGGAATCCAGAAGACATCAAAAACTCTCTTGCTAATGAGAGTTGAAACAACTGACAGGATTGAAAGAATCAGATGCTTATCTTTGATTTCTGCCTGGGATTGTTCTTAACCAAATGAATTTTTCTAGAAGCCTAGAAAGCAGACCTACACATAAGATGGCAAAGGTGACTTCTTAGAAGTTGGAGATAGACGATAGGTTCCCAAACTGATCTGGCCTACCACCGCCGTTTCAGAAATAAATAAATACTGGCAATGAAAGCCTTTTGTACTCTAGTCCACAATCCAGAATAAAGTGTAGGGATCTGCTTTTGCAGCCTCTCCCCAATCTGATCATTCCAGCACCGCCCTGGAGGTGGTAGTGCCCACCTTGAGAAACACTGATTCTGAACTATAGACCTGTGCTCCACCCAGATGAGTGTTAGAGAAACCATTGCGTGACTCACGGTGGAGAGAACACTGTAAGTTCCATGTGGTAATAAAACACAGTAGTGCATTATGAGCTCGCCAAAGGGATCATGAGCCAGATGGCTCCTCGTCTTTTGTACCACTTAAAGGCTCTACAAGAAAGTAAAATACTTCATTAAAAATAACAGTAGTCCCCAACTAATAAGAAACTTCAAAAATCCTAACAGTATATGTATATTCTATATCAGAGCACTGGAGGTGAATCATAACCTAATTAATATTTTAAAAAGAAATGTAAGGAAATGTGGGGATCACACATGGCAGATAAAATACATCTTTTTATCACTGCTCCCTCCGCAAACCTCACTGAAATGATAATGTAAGAATAAAAAGAACTTTAACCCATCAGGTTACAGAGTACGGGAGAGAGACGCGAACAGATAGAAGTGCCCACATTTCCGTAGGACTGGAGAGTGACAACTGACTTAGAAGAACAGAGAAAGCTGAACCCTTTGTGCTTGTCAAATGAGATTCACAATAAAACCCCACTGAGCCCCAAGAATTGGCAGGCCTAGGCACTACCTGAATTTAAGGGTAAAAGCGCAAGGCTAAACAGATTAAAATTCTGCACAGGTTGCTATAGGGCAGCACATCCTCCTCTTCAAACCCGTACAAGTAGGCAGCAGATTGTATTGATTCCTTGGAGAAGGGAGCCAGAGAGCTTCTGACACCGGGCCCATTGGGTATATGATAGACACCACAGCAAATGGAAGAAGGAGCCCAGGGGAACGTACGGTAGGGAACGCAGGGGGCCTTCAGAGAGTTCCGGAAGAATAGCATTAAAGGATAATGGAGTTTTTCCATGAACTTTTTGAAGCACCTTCGTATGTCATTTATTTCAGAGTTGAGAAAAGATTATCTGTAAAATGAGAATAGGAAAGGTCGCTTGTTCTTGAATTCAATAAACATTTTATTGAAATATGTTATATTTACTATAAATGTTACTATATTATGAAATTTTATGACAGAAACTTTTGCAAATAATTAAGTGTGCAAACTGAGGAACTACCATAAAGTGAACACACTCCAGTGAGAGAACATTCCAAGCATTACAAGCCTCCTAGAAGCCCCCTCACATCACCACCCTCTCTCTTCTCCTGAGATGTAGTCTCTCTCCTGACTTCTAACACCACCTGTTATTGAATTGTTTTAGCAGTGGAATCATATAGTACATATTATTCCATGTACACATTCTTTCACAACCATCTGTTTGTAAGATTCATCTTTCAGGTTGTCCATGGCCATAATGTGCTTATTTTCACTTTGATCCAGTGGGTCATTGGGTAACTATATTTACCCCAGTATATCCAGTGTAGGCTATTGAATAATGCGACTTGAACATTCTTCTGACGGTATCTTGGAGAATCTAGACAGATGGTTCTTTGAGCCTTTATCTAGGTGACTGACTCTATACTGTAGTATTCATTCATTCTTCTGTGGGCTTTGTCCTTGTGTTTGTGATCGTTGTTATGGAGAGAATGCACAGCCGCACGTACACCAATTCATCAATGTGCCCAGGAACAATCCAGTGACACCGAGGACATGCTCTCATCTGCCATCGTCCTCACCCTCCTTTCAGCAGTGTTCCTCCTCCATTACCTGAGCGTGTTGCCCCTAAATGTCCTCTCCGATCTTTCTAGTTGCTATTGTCAGTTTCTTCTCATAGGGCTGGTTCTTAAAAGAGAGCGATGCTTATGGTAGACATTCTTTACTAGTTAAGCCAAATTGTTGTTAAGTTTTAAGAAAGCATCTGAAATTGTAGGCTTAAGATTATTTCTGAGAAATAGTTTCAGGGTCTTATCCAGTGTCAGTAACTCCAGAAACTCTGTAGTCTATGGGAATTTGAAATTAGGTTCTGCAACTTTCCTTTAGATCAGGATTCTTCTTTAGAATCTTTGATTAAAACATTCAGTAATGATAGCTGAAGCACTATCCAGTTCTTCAGGTCTCATGTGTTAGCCACACATTCTATATTCTTCCTGCAATTCCGGGCTCTAAGGAGCCTTGGTGGCACTGTGAGGTAAGCACTGCACTGTTAACCACAAGGTCAGTGGTTTAAATCCACCAACTTCTCCATGGAAGAAAGATGAGATTATCTGTTCCCATAAAGATTTACAGTCTCAAAGACCCTCTATGGGGTCACTCTGAGTTGGAATTGGGTGAGTGATGTGGTGGATTCCTGTCTACTTCTTTCTCTGTTGTTCCAGGTAAATAGAGTCCAATTTGCATGCCTTTTATAGTCTCTTCCAAGCTATTAAGACCCCAGGCACGGTGCAACAAACTAGAAGATAAAGCAAAAGCACTAAACATTATTTCAGGACAATTAACTGGGATAACTCATACTACTTGCTATAACCTGAAACCTCCAAACCAGGAAATCAAATCCCATGAGATGTTTTTTTGTATATAAACAATCACAGCAGGAGCTCTTTAGCTGTTGTGAAAATCTGTCAGAAATCTGCTGCGAATTCAACTTTCTAGGGTACAACATTTTGACAACAGTATACTTTGGCATTCTTAATTTCAGATATCTTTTTTTATTCCAGAATTTCCACTTGTGTTTTTCAGACTTTTCATTCTTCAGCTGAAATTTTCTATGTTGTTATCTAATTTATCAAACATATTAATCAAAAAAAATTTTAATGTATGGCTCATAACTCCAGTATCTGGTTTGATATGAGTCTGTTTCTTATTTTCCGAGTTCCTACCCCCCCCCCTTGCCTTCCCCCACCCCCCATTGGTCTTGTCACTGATCCGCCTGGTAAGTTTTGAGTGAATGCCCACTATTAGCATAACTAAATATAGTTATTTTGAAACTCTACGTTATATTGTCTCCCTCCAGAGATACGAAAACAACACGTAAAAAGAAGAAACCTGAGGGATTAAAATAGGATGGATATGAAGAGTATTAAAAGTTGTTTAAAATGTTGGAGATCAGAGTAAAGGAAGTCCAAAATGATGTACTAGAGAAAACAGAGACTAAAGAGATGTAATATTTCTCAAAATTGAAAGACAATGTTTTCAGATTGAAACGATGTCTCATATACCCAGAACAATTAATGTAAAAGATTTAACATCATGAAATGTCAATGCAGGAGAGATAAAGAAAAGTTTCTTTAAGCTTCCAGGATTAAAATAAACAAAATCCCAGGGGTCACACACAAAGGATTAAGAATAAGAATAACATTTGACTTCATAACAAACATTAGATAGTGCTAGAAGACCAGCAAAAATCTAAGCAAAAGTGATTTTCAACCTAGAGTTCTGAACTCATCCAATCAATCGAATGAATACAGAATATAAAGATTTCTGAAGATATGCAAGATAACAAATTTTTAATTTATTTACATCCTTTCCCTTAAAACATCTAGAACAGTGGTTCTAAAGCTTCCTAATGATGCGACCCTTTCATACAGTTCTTCATGTTGGGGTGACCCTCAACGATAAACTTACTTTCATTGCTACTTCATAACTATAATGTTGCTACTGTTATGAATCAGGCAACCCCTGTGAAAGGGTTGTTCAACCCCCAAAGAGGTCCTGACCCACAGGTTGAGAACCACTGATCTAGAAGATGTTCTCCACAAAAATGAAGGAATAGATCAAGAAAAAGGAATATATGAGATCCAGTAAACACA